GTAAAAAAATAATATTTTTCTTTCCCAATTTTTTTTATGCCCCATTTTTTTTTTTTTTTTTTTTTGTGAAGATCTTTTGAGTTTCTGGTGTTGTTGGCTTACCAAGATAGTCTTGTTGGTGACCGAGAAGCTTTGTTAAAACACCAATAGACTGCAAAGTCATCGTTTAATCTTAGCTTGCGCAAGTCTACCAGCACAATGACTACCAGATGACTGGCACTCCGGGATTTCCCATGCTACAGTCGATCCATCTGATTTGAGCAGAAATGCGTCAGTTGGCTGGAGGTCAGTTTGGTTCCCCTTCAGGAACTCGAGCTGCGTCGAGTCGCTTTGGGAACGCCCTTGCGTGACCGCGTTCTGAAGCACGTGTCAAATCCGTCCAATGGAGCAGCGAGACGTCACGAGCAGGGTGACGTAAGCACCAGAAAGCATAAAGGCACATCCGGCCGGGCGCAAACCAGCTTCTGCTCTTCAGTAGCGCTCTGTGTATGTGTCTGTCTATTTACTGTTGTCTGTCCGCACAAGCACTCATATATATAAAACAATGAGAAAGTCTATGGCGAGCGAACGGCATTACAAACGCTGTGTTTCTCCCTGCCCACGATATCTGGCGGCAGGGGATACACACGATGTGTGTGTCGTTTGTTTAGGAGCAAAGCATGCACGGTCACACGTGTGGTTGAGAAAGACCAACACAGACCATTAGTGATGACAAAACATTCACCCGTCCCGGCCAAAGCAGAGCGGATTTGTGCATCAGCGTCAGGTTTTTTGTGCTCGTTTACTCTTTAAAGGCACTCGTGTCGCTTAGATGATTAATTATCAGCATCTGTCAGCTTGGGAGTAAATGCTTCACAGCATGAGGATGCTGAGAGTGATTTTAGGATGATTACACTGGAGATGTGGATGTTTCTTCATCTGTGCTGGATGAGTGAATGAATCACAGGCTGTGAGAGCTGTGGAAATGTCCTGTCCTTTCACTTCAGCAGGGAATTCAACATGTTGAGTTTTCATATGGTTTGCAGGAGAAAGACGAACATCTCTTCTGTTCTGCCGTGCTGATTCGAGAAGCAGCTATAGACTCATTTGGGTCCATTATTTGTCCTCTAGAGGAATTTCGCAGAAAGCCGGTCCAGAGCGCAGAGAGAGTGTGTGTCGCTTTTGTGTTTTCAGTGATGAAAGCAGGCCGTTTTATGCTTGGTTCAAACATGCTGCATTTTTAAACCGGCTGATAATGGATCTGCAAACCAGCAAAAGCTAAAACTGACTGAAACAGGTTTGTGAGATAAAGTAGGCCAAACCTTGTGAAAAAGAAGTGCGCTTAGTGTACTTCAGATTCTAAAGGTATATATTTATTAAAACTGTGCTCATTCAGTACTTGTCAAAATTTGGATTTCTGAAGGATCATGTGACACTGAAGACTGAAGTAATGATGCTGATAAAATAAATACAAAAATAAATAATAAATTACATTTTAACATGTAGTGAAATAGTGAACAACTATTTTAAAATTGTAATAATATTTAACTTTTTAATGATTAAAAATGCAGCATTGGTGAACAGAAGAGACTTCTTTCAGAAACATTTAAAAATCATAATGTTTCCAGACTTTTTACAAGTATTATGTTGGTATAGAAACCATTTTCACTCAGAAAATTAAACGGAAAAGGACAAAGAAACAAAGAACAATTACAAAGTAACACACTGAAAAACTGTAAAACTTAGTTTTTATTGCAATTTTATTGTAAAACACACTCCAATATTCTTTCTTTTATGTACAACTTTAAATAAATAAATCCTTTAAAAAGTGCACTTTGGAATTTTGTCAATTTAAGTTTTAAAGTACATTTTAAATAATTGTTTATTAATATTTTATCCTGATTCAGAGTACACTTATTGTTGTGTTGACTAACATACTGAAGCACATGTAAAGTCCTTGATTATAATGTACTGACAAGCATTTATGATAAACTAAAATATACTTTTAATGTAATTTCTATTGAAACTTGTATGCCATGTATTTAAATATATTTGCAATTACTCCTTTATAATAATAATAATGAAAAATATATTACATTTAGTACATTTAAAATATATTAACTGTAAGTGTAATGTTGAATAACCATATTTCAAGACAATAGAAGTAATTATGAAATTACATATAAAGATGTACTTAAGTCCTGCTTAGTTCAGCTAATTGCATTTAGTAAGTAAACTGTATACATTTTTATTTAATTGCAATTAAGTGTCTGAAAACATTACATTCAGTTCACACTTAAGTATATTCTTGTAAAGTTTATTATTTCCATAACAAGAACTCTTTTTAAAGCCATGCTAAAGTGTACAGCTTTTTCACAAGCGCATATCAGCTTCTCTTTCCTCCCAGTTCCTCTCTGGTCTTCTTCTTACAGGCAGATGCATTTCATCAAAACAAACACAGTTTAATGTCTGAACTGTCACTGACATCATCGTCCTCAGTTTATAGGTCAATGATAATTTACTCTCCCTAATGTTCTTTCAAACCCATATGAGTTTCTTAGTAAAGTGTGACAGAATTGTCATTTTTGTATACCATTAACTATCCCTTTAAAGCACAACACACACACACACACACGCACACACACACACACACACACACACACACACACACACACACACACACACACACAGAAACAGGGGGGGAGAGAAGCGGGGTGGGGCGCAGTGGGGGGGTCTGTAAAACAAAATATCATCTTTGGCCATATTAGCCTAGGCCTACTCAATAACATTAACACAGGCTTTACTCCTTTCAAACTTTATCTGGAATGTCACTGTTTCTGTCACTGCAACTTCTCTCTCTCTCCCACGAAAAACACACACACACACACACACACACACACACACACACACACACACACACACACACACACACACACACACACACACACACACACAGAAACAGGGGTGGAGTGAAGCGGGTTGAGTCGCAGTGGGTGGAGCTTCAGGCTTCATTGATGTCACTGTCTGGCAGCGCTCCGGTCACGCTGGCCGAGAGCCGAGTCTGGGATCCTGGAGCCGACCCGGGTCGAGAGCAGAGCCGAAGAATAACGGGAAGCTGTTATGCATCAGCAAAGCCCTGAAAAAAGTGCTCTTGAGAAAAAAAACGAGCAAAAGGAAAACAATTGTATCTTGAAAGTACAGGAACAAAAATAGCAGGGGCAAGTGATCAGGCACCGCGGTGGACATTGTTTGGCCCAAATGAACTGAGGTGGACAGCAATGGATTATGGGAGGTCTGTGTTTCTGTAAACACCATTGAGGATTGCTGCAAATTATTAACATGACTGGATTGTTTCCTTCAGCACGCAGTTTCCATATTAAATATAGAAGGTGCGTCAGCAGATGCCAACACGAGACACGGAAATCAAAATAAAGCCGTTTGCAGTGAAAATGCACCTCACAACACAGATTCACAATCATGATTTAGATGTGAGTCACACAGAGCACCAATTAACCATTATTAGCAATATACATTACACCATTCAAAGGTTTTATTGAATGGTGCAATGTTTTTTTTTTAAGTTTGTTAATTTTTAATAGGGTCCAGTGACAGTGACAATAAAGACATTTATCATGTTACAAAATATTTCTATTTCAAATAAATGCTGTTCTTTGAACATTCTAAAAATAAAATGTATACATTTCCATGGCAGCACAAATGTTTTCAACACTGATAAAAATGAGAAATGTTTCTTTAGCAGCAAATCAGCTTATATTAAAATGATTTCTGAAGGACCATGTAACACTGAAGACTGGAGTAATGATCAGTTTTGATCATGGCAATAAATTGCATTTTAACATACAGTATATTAACAGTTATTTTAAATAGTAATAATATTTCACAATTTTTACTGTGTTTTTGAGCACGCAAAGGCAGCCTTGGTGAGAGAAGAGACTTGTTTATACATTTGTATTTAATATACATTTCTACTGAGAAAACTAACAATAAATATATGCAAACAAGTATCTGTTTCTATCAAGTTGACACTGCATTTACTGTATTTACATCAGAGTACATTTAGATGTTTAAAACCTCAAGAATCAAAGGTACAGTTTCATACACAGTTTCTCCATCTCTGTCAGGAGACTGGAGCTCTTTAACACTGCCATAGGTCTCATGATGAGGACTCTCAGTTTTGGAGCAGTTCTGGGCAAATTCACAGTATTTCTCAAACTCTGCATTTGGAGGAAGACTTGGACATTTTCCTTTATATTTGAAAAGCTTCTTGGTGTTGTGCACAGATGGTGTTTATTATTGCATGTTCTCTGAACACATGTTGATGCTAATCTACTAATGACAGTAAAGAAGGTGGTCCAAAGCAACAAGGTCATTACGAGTGTTGCTGTTCTTCTTTGTAAATGACTTTTATAAATGTCTGGCTTGTTTTAACTTTGACGTTTTCGATGAACTCACCTTCCCCAGGGAGTAGTTAGAATTTTCATTTACTCAGACTTCGGTTCAGCTCTGCTCTGGTCTAGCGATGAGGAAGGATACAGCTGAGAATGTTGACGTTGTGTGTGATTACGAGTGGATTTGCTCCGAGTACGTGCTGGTCCGGGTTTGGCTCGACCCTCTGATTTACCCCAGATGGAAGCTCTTTCTCTAGATTCACACAGTAGTTGCTCTGAAATCCCGGGACACATATTTCATAATCTGAGTGTTGCTCAACTCTAAATATATTGTCGAGGATGCATTAATATGATCTGATTGATCAAATGGTTTGCTGTAATTCTTGCTGGACACCATGTTTGTGCATTAAAGGAATAGTTCACCCAAACATTCAAATGTATTGACAATGTCCTCACTCTCAGGCCATTCAAGATGTAGATGAGTTTGTTTCTTCATCATATTTGTAGAAATGTAGCATCACATCACGTGCTCGCCAATGGATCCCCTGGAGTGAATGGGTGCCATCAGAATGAGAGTCCAAACAGCTGATAAAAACATCACAATAATCCACAAGTAATCCACATGATTCCAGTCCATCTATTAATGTCTTGTGAAGCCAAAAGCTGCTTGTCTGTAAGAAACAAATTCATCAAGACATTTTTAACTTCAAATGAACCTTCTATCCATAATAATGCTTCCTCCAGTGAAAAAATTGTCTGGTCTGAATCAGGAGAGAAATATGAACAGATCAAGCTCCGTTTACAAGCCAAAACAGCTCTAAACAAAATGTGGGTGGATTTTAGGATAGCAAGAGATGGACTTTTTCACTGGAGGAAGCGTTATTATGTTTAATGGACTTGTATTTTAGCAATGGATTGAAGTTAGGAGTGTAGATTACTTGTCGATTATTGTGGTTTTTAACAGCTGTTTGGACTCTCATTCTGACGGCACCCATTCACTGCAGAGGATCCATTAGTGAGCAAGTGATAGAATTATATATTTCTCCAATATTTTCTCCACATTTTCAGCGCATTTTCATTTTTGGGTGAACTATTCCTTCAAGGAGTAATTAAAGTTCACAGTGGACTAGGGCTGTCAAAATGGCTGAAAAACGAAATTCGAATTTTGTACTTGAATATTATCAATATTCAAATTATATTAGAATTTAAAAGGCATAATTTCAGTTAGGGAGAAAAAAAGCTGTTAGCGTCTCACTTGAGGCCACAAGAGGGCGCATCGAGCAAAATATTACTAATGCACGTTTCTTCAAAGCAATAAAATAACAGGACTATCTTTGAAAAAAATGCATAATGTTTAAAATAATGTTTATAAACTATATATAAAATTAATGAAGTTACTTAAACAATTAGAAACAAAATAGCATCTTGTATGTATGTATGTATAGTTAATGCAAAGGACCGAAAACCAATCACAAATAGTACTTTTTTCATTTAAAAACATGAGATGCAGTGGGATGGGGAAAAACTGCCATAAAGTCTCGACGCTTGTTCGGCACCCATTCACTGCAGAGGATCCATTAGTGAGCAAGTGATAGAATGATATATTTCTCCAATATTTTCTCCACATTTTCAGCGCATTTTCATAGTTTATAAACTATATATACAATTAATTAAGTTACTTAAACAATTAGAAACAAAATAGCATCTTGTATGTATGTATGTATAGTTAATACAAAGGACCGAAAACCAATCACAAATAGTACTTTTTTCATTTAAAAACACTTTGAAAAAAATGCATAATGTTTAAAATAATGTTTATAAACTATATATAAAATTAATGAAGTTACTTAAACAATTAGAAACAAAATAGCATCTTGTATGTATGTATGTATAGTTAATGCAAAGGACCGAAAACCAATCACAAATAGTACTTTTTTCATTTAAAAACATGAGATGCAGTGGGATGGGGAAAAACTGCCATAAAGTTTGTTTATGTATGATATATTTAAAAACATATTATATTTTTCATTTATACTATGAATATGTATTGTGCTGTTTACAACATAAAGCCTATTTGCAATTGGTAATAAGATGTTTTGTCAGAAAGAACATTTTTTGCACTAAATGGGCTCAAACATTAAATTCAAAAACTTCCGTTCTTGTATTTTCACAGGAAAAACAGACAATGTTAGAACTCTTCTTAACCGCGGCAAACCCATCAGTGGTGATCATCTCCTCAGGCAGTGCACAAACCATCCTGCTTCATGACAATCCCACAGTGAACATCTACGTAAGTACCGATGCATTCAGTGTTTTCATTTGTAAATCCCGCCAGAGTTGCTAAAAATAACACATGTTGCACATGCAAAGGATTCATCCAGATCTACATTTGTTGACGAGCTGCCAGCATAAAGACGTTTGCATCCACATCTTTATATTTAACAGTGGAACAAATGGTGTGTTGCGTGGGAGCCGTTGGCAGGTGTCTGACAATAAAAGCAGCTACAGCTGCACACTTTCAGCTCTGTTTTGAGAGGCAATTAACCTTGTTTGTTTAGCCCATGACCCCATGAGAATTTGCAAACAGACTTAACTAGTGTCGAATATGGATGTGCCAGAGCTCTCGAAACAAAACAGCCCAGTATGACAAAAGCAGTGCTGCTCCATGATTTGTTTTCTTCAATTTGTTCTTTCCACTGCTGAACCTTGTTAACCTTTATTAGATTGCTGTGGAACAATGCGCATTGGAACTGCAGTGCAAAACGAAAGGGAGCGAACGTCTATTTCCTTGCAAGGAGGGGAAATTCAACTCCGCCCCAATTGTGACTGAATCCAGACTATGAGATATTAAAAATGCAGTGTGTTATGATGGGAGAATCTGATGGCCTGGGGAGACATGCGATGTCTTGAGTCTGGAGAAACAGCATGTGTTGTTCTTGAGGGTTCTTATCAATAGACGCGGTCAGGCCGGGCAGAGAAACACTCCCGACCGTTTCCAACACCAGCCTGAATCCATCACAACCTGTTCGACTCGACAGGCAGAGAACGAAGTCTGCTTTTCAGAGTAGATTGTACTATTTACATACATAGAATATCAACACTGCTTTTCAATGTTTAATTGAAGGGATAGTTCACATAAAAATGAAAATTCTTTCATTAATTACTCACCCTCATGTCATTCGAAACCTGTAAGAACGTTGTTCACCTTTGGAACACAAATTAAGATTAGGGGTAGGCAGGGAAGTGCACAGACATTTTGAGGTGCAGGAGCTCAAGTGGAAAAAAGGGCACTTCTCATATATATTTTATTAATCGAGATTTTTTTCTAAACAAAACGTCACTTGTTATTTAAAAGTTGAACTTACATTAATTTACATGGCTTTCTAAACATGCCGCTCTTTTGTGCGAGACGCGAGTGCAATGGTGATAGATTTCCCTATAGAAAATGCGATAAATATGCGTTCTGTGTGAACGGCTTGGTTTCAGTTTTGATGCAAACAACATCTTCTCCGCATTGATTTTCTCTTTTTCCGCAATATTTTGGAACAATGTAGCAGTGCCACATCTAGTGGGTTCAACTGGATAGGCTAACAAAAACATTAAAATGCAATGACACCTACATCATCATCGCATCTCGTGTGCCACTGATAAGGCAGCCTGATGCACACCTAAAATTAGAATGCAACGTTATTGTATTCGAATGTAGATTTATATTTAAAATTCGACGAATATTCAAAATTCGAAATTTTTTTGACAGCCCTACAGTGGACAGAGGCTCAGTCTTGTAGAGTCAGATGTCGATGGTACAGACACCAAACACATGTTACTCTGTTTATTCCTCCATGAAACATTCATGGCTGCCCTCCTCTCATGGTCTTGTCGATACACTCATTGCAGTGGAGCGTGATAGAGATTTCTGCAGAAAGTTTCTCTCAAACCTCACTGAAGCACCGGCAGCAGTCAATGTGCTGTGAGATCTCTGTGTTCACTGGGTCACTTGTGCTGGGATTCACTTCAGCTCGTCTTTACCCTGCTGCACCTCATGAAGTCTTGGCCATGACACATCAGGGTTAACTAAACTCAAACTCAAACTCAAAAAAAAAAAAAACTTATTTATTTAATATAATAATACTAATAATATAATATATGTTATGTGCATGATAACATGGTAACAATTCATACTGAATGTGAGGGAGATTTTATTAAGAGTGTTGTTTAAACTGTCTAAATGCTTTATTATATGCTTGAGTTATTTTGATGTGCTAAAAGACCAACAGGAAATGTCACTGTGTGTGTGTGCAGACAAGTGTAAGACCAAAAATGTTATTTTAGCTTCTTAGATCATCCTAGCTTCTTAGAAATTATTTTTCCATAAATACTTAGAAAACGCATCTAGGGGACATAGTTGGATACCTTAAATGGGCAAATTTTTTGAATATGCATTATGATTGGATGAGATTGAAGCATCCTGATTTAATTGGGGTATAAATGCTAAGTCAACGTATTTTCCTGTTTGTCGCACTCTGCAGGCAGCATGAATGAGTGTTATGACTGTAGACCTTTTCTTGCGAGAAAATAAATATTCAAAAGATTGTTGTCTCATACCTTCATTGAAATGGAAGATTGCCACAACACTAAAAAAAGAAAAGAAATAATATTCATTAAAACTACATTACATCAGTTATGTCTTCCATGTCATTTCATTTTAATTCTACTTCATTAAATTCTAATTCTAATTGAAATTTTCCATCCTGTTTGCCAATTTAAAAAGTATTCTCAATCCAGTCCTGAATGACTCACCAGCTACAGGGTACAAAATAAAGATCATTCCTTCACTGAGGAACAGTGAAAGTAAAGCTTCTGGAAACAAACATTCCTCAAAAGCCTGATGATCAGATTTGAGACTCACTGATTTTTCTAAAAATGATCTCTGGATAATCAAGTAAAGCCAAGCTGCTTCAGTTCAGTAAGTGTTCATCTGGAAATATTAATAAGAGTTATTCTTATGTTTATTTTATAAAAATCTAAGATTTGAAGCATGAAATTATGTACGTTTGTACAATTATACTAAAATACCTTTTATTTGATAAAAAAAGTCTAAACTATCAATCAGATGACAGAAGGAATGGAGTAGAATGTGTGACAGAAATGTTTTGATTATGTTGATCATTTGCAAGCCTTAGAAATTCATCAGCTATGATACAGTAGCTTGGGGTTAAAATTGACAGGTCTGTTTACGTCTTAATGTGCACCTCAACTCGCAGCTTTACTGTCACACTTTATTTTAAGGTACAATTTTCACCATTAACAAACCATTAACTACGACTTTTGCCTCAATAAACACCTAATTAGCTTCTTATTAGTAGTTAGTAAGGTAGTTGTTAAGTTTAGATATTGGGTAGGATTAGGGATGTAGAATATGGTCATGCAGAATATGTGATTTATAAGTACTAATAAAAAGCCAGTTTGTTAATAATACGCATACTAATAAGCAACTAGTTAATAGTGAGAATTGGTCCCTATACTGTGTTACCACACATTACTTGTGTAGTGGAGATTCCTATAATGAGTCCGCTGCAAAATGCTCAAGTGGGTGCTAGCTAGCCATTTAAATGTAAAGCAGTAAGCTCATTGGCTGCGTATGCAACATGAACCAATCAGCTTGTGCCAAGTTGCTTAAAACGATAACAATAATTAGACGATATTTATATAAATTGATATAATAATCGATAAAATATAAATTGAATAATAAATTATAAAGCCTTTTTTTCTAAAAGTGTGCATAATCTTTTCAGTCAAATTCTTAAATTGAATCAGTCAATTAGAATAATAAGTCATTTGGGCTGTTACCAAGCAAATTAAATCAGTATTGACAAAATTAATCTTTGCAATGCAGAGAAAACACAGAAGCTACATTAGAAGTGGCATTTAGATGCATTTACACACTGTTTAATGCAGGACATGAATGTATTTAACCTGCAGTTATAAATGCATTAATATTGTTTTGATATTTTAATCATAAAACGTAAAATACTTATATTTAAAATTATATATAAAAAATAACCAAACAAAGTAGTTTCACTTTCACAACGAAAAACACGGCGGCCTAGCGTTAGTGGAAGCTGTGGCTTAGCGTGAGCAGAGGCGGAGGGGGTTGAGAACGGCAACCACATGTGACGACCCTGGGCTGGACTCCGCTTCGTCCACGGTGAAAGCCGATCCGGCGATCCACAGCACTAAGTTGATGTATTCCCTCAGCGACCAGCACAGATCAGCTCTAGGCATGACGAAGCAGATATCGTTCTCTTTTGGAAGACCAAACAAAGTAGTTTCGCTTTCACAACGAAGCACACAGCGCCTTCACAACATGGCAGCAGCGGCAACAATACTACAGTGAGAATAAAAGTTACGCCTTCATCCTTTGCGTGAACATTTGGGTGGCGTTATGCAAATCTTCCCACATAGTGAGGTAGATATGTGAGGCCGTGTTAGAACGAGCCGTTTTAGGTAGGCGTGGTTGACTCTTAACTTTTATAAAGAATATCTCTTTGGATTTGAGACTTTAGTCTTTGCAACTTTACAGATCTTCTTTATGCACCAAGAGCTTGTTAACACTCCAAAGAGAAATTTAAAATTGAAATCGCATCATATGGCCCCTTTAACATAAAACATTGAATACTGATATTTAAAATTATTATAAAAAAAATTAAAAGATACTTTAAATGGGAAATTAAAACCACCAGTAGGTGGCAGCAAGTCACTGTTAATAAGCGAGTCATTGCGACTGATCCGAATCATTTAAATGGTTGATTCATTCAGGAACAAAACAGCGTCATTGTTGTCGAAATAGAGCAAAAACAGTCAATATTGTGTCTAAAATGTAAGTGTCTTAATATTAAATTCTTGTTTATTGAACTGCTGTATAAAATTTGCAAGGGCGTAAATTTTGTCTAACAATAAACAATAAACATAACATTTCTCAAGAGCAATTTTTGAAGGGGACACAAATAATACAGCTAAATAGTACTTGTAAGGATATTTATATACAGTGGAAAGCCTTACTACTAATAGTGTAGCAGGGAGACAGTGCCAAATGAGACAACTTCAGGCTGTTATCGCGTTGCAACTGCGCTCGTGTCAAGTTGAAGACATTACTATTCGTCACAGTATTGCCAAGTCCGTGGTTTTCCCGTGGAATTGGGCTACTTTATCACTCTTGCCGCGGGTTGTTTTTCATGTCCTCGGGTTGAAGTGACCCCAATAACGTGTATTTTAATCCCCGGAATGTGA